ACACACACACACACACAGAGCCTCGAACACACTCTTTGGGTCTGTTAAGATTATCATCTGAGATCTAACTCTCTGCAGAGGGCAAACTGAGGCCAGGCTGTTTTCCGTGTTCTTGTAAACTCTTCGTGTTTTATGTTTGTTAGTCAGTCAACAGGAATAATCACTGAGAAATGCAATGCTAAGTAAGAAGCTGCATTAAAACAGAGCTGTGGAGTTGTTTCCTTAAGGTTGTGCCATGTTTGCTAAACTCTCTTCTGGTCTTTTAATATTGGCAGGAGGGGTTTGGTTCATTACTGCTACGGCTGTGCCAAGAATTCAGACTGCTCATTGCCCCTTAATTATCATGTGTGAAGACATTTGAGGTCTGGGAAAAGTTGGGTGTGTTTCACACTAAAGACGTACTAAGTAAAGAGAGGTCGTATTTAAACCTGTAACCACTAACTTTTAACTCTCTATAGAGTTATTTTTGTAGTAACACAAAATGTTTCCGCTTTTACCAGAGGTATAGTTGCTTCCTGAAAGTTTTAATTTAGCTTTGGTGACGGTTTCTGGAGTAGACATGATCAAAACAAGGAGGAAATAATAGAGAACCAGAAATACCAGCCTGCAGTTGTATGCTTCCACCAGCCAGAGCACTTTCAGTCCCTCCAGGTGTTCCTGACATATTTCATTCATAGTGATATGAGGTCGCTGTGACCTTTGACCATTGACCACTTGAGTCCAAGTGACAACTGGTCAAAATTTCAAGTAAATTCTGATTTTGTATGGTTATATTGACCAAATGCTATTCAGTCTATCCTCAAGTCCAGTTGGGCATCTTTGAGTCCAACTGAACATTTTTAGATATTGTGTTCACAAGAATGGGTTAAAAAGACTCTGGTCACTGACTATTACCTGAATTTATCTGAGGGTTTCAACTAACCAGTGGGGAACCTGCGGGAAATGTGACACATGACGGATTTGAATGCTCCCCTGACGATGTCCTGATAAGTAAGTAAAACCTTCACACTGTTAATCTGAGCTTCTATGTGTCTGTTTGCTTTGGCTCTAGTCCTCAAAGCCTAAAGTGAGCATCCCTCTGTCAGCCATCGTGGAGGTGAGGACCACCATGCCGCTGGAGATGCCTGACAAAGACAACACCTTCGTTCTTAAGGTAGAAACAACACAAACAGCTTCTTTAGCACAACTGCACCTGCATGAGTTGATTAGCATGATGGGAATAACCTATAGAGCTTGAAAAGTTGATGATAGCTTTATGACAACAAAACAGGCTGCTGGAAAATGAAGTAGCCCATGTACGTGCTGAGTTCCCTCTGGATTTGTGTTGTTCTGTGCCATGATGATGACGTTTGAACTGAGCTCAGTGTGTGATCGCACTGTTTGGCTGCGTCCACAGGTGGAAAATGGGGGAGAGTACATCCTGGAAACCATTGACTCGCTGCAGAAAAACTCCTGGGTTGCTGACATTCAGGACTGCACAGACCCGGGGTAAACCACCAGATAAATATTTGCTGTTGGCTGAAGAAGGAGAGAAGGGGAAATAGGGTGGATGGGACGGAGGGAGGGAGGGAGGGGTAATACACACAGTCATTAATCATCAAATTAGTGGAGTTTCTGACAGGTTGCATGAGCACAAACACGGGCGAGCTCGCACCGCTGACATTCCTCAAGAGTCTCCTTGGTCAGCGGACGTCAGTCGGTGCAGCTCAGGATGTAAACAGATTATTTGAGTCCGTGTTTGTATGACGAGGATGTATGTTGAATTGTGTGTCACGTTCTTGCGGTCCTCCTGACCCTCCTGCTTGTGTACAGGGACAGCGGCGATGACATCGAGCTGGCGTCGTGTCCTCATGGTCAGGCCTCCAAAGACTGCTCCATGGTGGCCTCCTGCAGCTGTGAGCTGCTGTCTGAGGGTGAGCAAAGACTGAGCAGCACTGTCCCCTAAAAAGGACCAAATCAAATATTTTGATCCAAACAAACGTGTTAATACATAAAAAACATCTTTAGGGGTGTATCGAGCTCCAGAGAGGTCGTGCCCTACAGCAGCAGAGCATTACAGTGCCCCCTCAGTCCGCAGCAGGGAACCCCCCTTCACCCAGCACCCATCTCACATGCCTTTGGAGCGCTTCCTCCAGTCTCCCGAGGCTCAGGCCTCCAACTCTTCTGCAGGTAAGAACAGAGACATCCGAGTTTTCTCTCCAGGTTATTAATCTCCAACCAGCTGAATATACACATACCGGAAAATAAACACAGAACGTGGATTTATGTGTGCTGCTCTGCTCAGGTGGCAGTGAAGGTGCAAAAGACTCGGATGGCGATGCCAGCCTGGCAGGTTACCCATGGTTCCACGGTACGCTGTCTCGCGTGCGTGCAGCTCAGCTGGTACTTGCGGGCGGGACCAGGAGCCACGGGCTCTTTGTGATTCGCCAGAGCGAGACAAGGCCGGGCGAATACGTCCTCACCTTCAACTTCCAGGGTAAAGCCAAGGTGAGTCGATTAGAGACACGACATTAAGTGTACATTTAATCAGAGAAGGAGGGATGTTAGTGTGTTGTGTGTATGTACATACAGTGGTGCAACTAATATATTTTTGATTTTAGTTCTATCAATATTTTTTGGTTAATATATCTCAAGATTGATTCGAGATTTATAAACTTTATTGTCATTCAAAATTATGAAAAGTCTCATCCTCAAATCAGATTGTGCCTGTTGAATTTAATAATAGTTTAACATTTGATATGGTTTATAAAATATCAAACGTTTCCTCCCAGCTGCAGTCTGGTTTTCTGCAGCCGTGTTAATTTCACCCAGGCTTGTTCTCTTGACATTTGGGATGTGGCTGCTGCAGCTCACAGCGCTGACCAAGTTGCTCAGGGTCTGGAAAAGATGCAGTAATGTCAATGTTTTGTGTTCTCTTATGTAACGTGATCCCTGCACATCACTTCCTGCCAGCTTGCAGTGTTGAGGAAGTGTCAGCTGACGCCTCTTCCTCCAGTGTCAGCCTTGGCATTTCAGTTCCTCTCCTCCCACAGCGAGACGCTTCTCAGTTAATGTCCCGGCCTGTGACCCGGTCTGTCTGTTTCAGATCATAATTGTGTCTCACACTGAATTCCCCTTTCATTCTGTTTTTTCTGCTCTCTTCCTTCCCCTACTCCCTCTTTTTTCCAACACTTTGACAGCATTTGCGCTTGTCGGTGAATGAGAACGGGCAGTGCCACGTCCACCACCTGTGGTTCCACACTGTGTCGGACATGTTGAGACACTTCCACGCCCACCCAATCCCCCTCGAGTCTGGGGGCTCAGCTGACATCACATTACGCTCTTATGTGCAGGTGCAGCGAAGCTCCACCACAGGTACAGATAACTACTCAGACATATAACCTTATAGTCATTGATTCTGCTCAGCACTTTCTCACATCCTTATAAGATGCTTAATTAGTGCTGGAGAGGTCAAACCATTCGGACTAAGTGAAGAGTCCTAGGTTGTGTTTCTATGACAAAAGCCCAGCTCCTGGATTTCTGAGGCCAATATTGATATTTGAGAGCAAGAAAATACATTTAGTTTTGATATGAATACAACAAACTCAATCTCTGATGAATAATGGAGACATGGTGAGTTGATTCCTGATTCCCTTCAGATTTAAAGCAAGACTATCTGATATTGAAAGAAGAATCAACACATTCCTCCTCTCACAAATGAAAAGTTGATTTCACAAGAAATAAAAAAGGACTGTACTCAGTTCATTTCACTCAGGTTTTGCTGGCTTGCCTGATTTGGTCTGACCAATACCTTTCATATGTTTAAAAAGTGTATAAATGCTACGGCTGATATTATGTGCAACTTTTACACTGAGTTGTAGCATTTGTCAGTATCTTGTGTTCATATTTTTGACTTGCAGAGATTTGGAAGAGTTTGGCGGCCGTTTCTCAGGTCATCGAAAGAATAATGGAGTAATATTAAACTACCAGAAAGTTAGACATGTTGATGGATTGCAGACGTTTGTCCGTACAGATGGAGGAAGCAAAGCTACAACTCACTGAACCCCCCCCCCCCC